TTTTTTAAATTAAAAATTTCCACCTGAGATATCTTATTAAAACGACCGTCCATGAAAAATGTCCTTTTTTTGAAAAAAGTACTATTTTGATGAACGAAAATTAATGAATCATCTTTATTACGATAATTTAACTTTATTAACATAATTTAAGTTGATGCAGTTTGAACTTTTTTTTGAAGAATTTTACAAGTTGTGAGTGACAAAATCAAAAATGAAACCTTTCCAAATTTAACTTTGATAAGCAAATGGGGTTGTGACGGGGCATCAAATCAATCTCAGTACAAACATTCGTTTTCTTCAGTGACGATTCTTCAGTTTTTGTTATGAGCGTAATACCAATTAAACTGTTTAACCGTGAAAATGAACAGGTAATCTGGGAAAACGAATTTCCTTCATCCACACAGTTTGTCGGCCGATTCTATTTGAATTTGTTAAATCTTCAATTGAAGAAATCGAATCCCAAATAAATTTGCTAAAACCATTTTGTAACGATCAAGTATCAGTAAAATATGACATGCTCTTAACAATGATAGATGGCAAAATATGTAATATTTTGACTGAGACTTCTTCTGCCATGCGATGTTACTTATGCAAAGCTACACCAAAAAAAAAAATGAATAATTTAAATTTAGCAGCAAGCAAAGATGCAATTACTGATGAGTATTATACTTTCGGCTTATCGCCTTTGCACTGTTTGATCAGATGTTTCGAGTGTTTACTCCATACTTCGTATAGACTTGATTACAAGTCTTGGAGTGCAAAATCAAATGAATATAAGCAGTTATTGGAAAATAAAAAAAAAGAGGTTCAAACAAATTTTAAAAATCAGCTGGGCATAAATGTTGATTGTGTTAGACAAGGAGGTGGCAACAGCAACGATGGAAATACAGAACGAAAATTCTTCGCTTTTCCTGAAATTTCGTCTTCAATAACTGGTTTTGATGAACACCTCATTAAACGCTTGGCAATAATGTGGCAAGTTATTTCATCCAACTCTATGATCAATGTTGACAAATTTGAACTTTATGCCAAAGAAACAGCCCATAACAAAGCCCTCTAGAAACAGCCCTTGTTATAACAAACGGTATAACAACATCACACACTTTTTATAATAACACAAGTAAACATTGAATACACAAAAAACAGGGAAGGTTTTTCTATGTTTACAAAAATCTTAGACATAAAGAACTTTGAGCTAATATTTTTACTACGTCATAACACTTCTCCCTCCTACAAAAAAAATAAAACACCACTTATGTACGGGACCTCTGCCAGGTACCGTGATATGTATTAGTCGAGGAGAAAACGGAGAGGCTTTCTTCTTTCCCGCTGAGGCCTACTGGGGGTATTGCTGCCTCTTGTTTGTCCTGATGGTAGAAGACTGGGCCGCTGAAGTGGCAATGAGGTATCCGGTGGAGAGGGAAGGCTCTCATGTGCATTATGAGGAGATGGAGGGCTCTCATGTGTATTATGAGGGTATGGTGGGCTCTCATGTATACTTTGAGGAGTTCTCATAGGCGTGGTAGCTGATGGAGAGCCTGCAGATGATGGACTCCTAGGATTCTGAAGGCTGTTTTCCTTGTCTGAGAATGACGTATTATAGTCTGTGTTGACAGGTCCACTCGGGTTCTTCTCTTTTGATTCTACTCTTGGCCACAATTGATTTATGTGTCGCTTCCACAATAAACCCTCTTCAATTTTTATTAAGTTGGTTTGGAATCCTAGCTGGTCTTGAACTACTCCTTTCTCCCATTTTTCTGAACCAGCTCGAAAATCACGAGCCCATACTAAATCCCATGGTTTGAAAATTACTTGCCGATTGCCGCCATGTTTGCACATATGTTGTTAATAGTCTTGCACGTTTTCTTCTGAGGACGGTAACAGAAGGTCAAAAAGGGTGCGCGTTTTCTTCTTGAGTAGTATTGTAGCTGGTGCTTCACCTGTAGCACTATGTTCCATATTTCTATATTGCAATAGAAATTCATTTAGAGCCCTGGATAATTTTCTTGGTGCTGGATCAGCCAAATTTTTTAATAGACATTTCTTCACTATTTTTACAGATGCTTCGGCACTTCCATTTGTCTGGGGATGGAATGGTGCTCCAACGAGATGCTGAATTCCACATTTTTGCAAAAATATTGAAAACTCTTCACTTGTAAAGCAAGCAGCTCCATCTGTCGTAACTGCTCTAGGCAACCCGAAACGACTAAATACCTCTGTTAACTTGTCAATAGCTATGGAAGCTGTCATGTTTGGAACCAAAAATGCTTCGATCCATTTGGATGTTGAGTCTGTGATGACTATTGCATTTATATTTCTTTTTATGGGACCCAGGAAATCCACATGAATACGTGTCCAGGGGTTGCGTGGCCAGGGCCAGGGCTGAAGAATTGCTTTTGGTGGATTGTCACGAAATTTGCAACATATATCGCATGAATTGGCTACTTGTTCAATTTCTTGGTCTAAAGAAGGCCACCAAATGTAACCTCTCGCAAAGCTTTTCATTTTTGTGGCTCCCAGATGATTACTGTGGAGTTGTTTCAAAATTGCAGGTCGAAACTGTTCAGGTATAACCACTCGATACCCCCACATAAGACACCCATGATCCACCGTAAGCTGGTGTTGTTACCATAATGTTGCCATTTTTAATCCTCGTCGCCAGTTGTTACACCTTACTGATTTGACTAATGTGAGTCAATCAATAAATAAACTTAAAAAGCTTGAAAGGTTAAATAAAACAAAGTTTTAAGTCCACGTGTCTTCGAACATCACACACTTTTATTATCACACAAGTAAACATTGAATACACAAAAAACAGGGAAGGTTTTTCTATGTTTACAAAAATCTTAGACATAAAGAACTTAGAGCTAATATTTTTAATACGTCATAACAGAAATACAGCACGAAAATTCTTCGCTTTTCCTGAAATTTCGTCTTCAATAACTGGTTTTGATGAACACCTCATTAAACGCTTGGCAATAATGTTGCAAGTTATTTCATCCAACTCTAAGATCAATATTGACAAATTTGAACTTTATGCCAAAGAAACAGCCCAGCCCGGTTGTATGTTTCTCTATATGACTGGTATTATATGCCAGTTACCTTGCATAAGCTGTTGAATCACGGCAAAGATGTTGTGAAGAATGCGATAGTGCCAATAGGCCAGTTGTCTGAAGTTGCACAAAAGGCTAATCATAAATTATTTAGAAAATATAGGGAAAATCATTCAAGAAAAGTATCGAGAGAATTGAAGAATAGGGACATTTTAATTAATTTGTTGATAAATACAGATCCTTTGATTTCTTCTTTACGGTCAAAAATGACCAGTTTAAAACAAGAATTATCACCTGATGCTCTAAATTTGTTAATAAATTAATTATCTCTACTTTTTTTAAAAAATATTTTACTAATCCAACATATTTTTATACCTATAGATAATTAAAAAATGATATTTTTTTGTAATACATAATTATGTACAAACATAATTAGTAAAAGTAACTAATTATAATATTTTGAATAAAAATTTTTATGGATTTCGTTCATGTTTTTTTATTGTGAATTGAATGGTACCTACTCCTCTTATATGGAAAACGGGGGTTTTGGTTTGCCGAAAACCCTTTTTTACGGTTGCTCCTATCAAAAGAAGTGACCTGAGTAAAAGTTGCTGGAAATAGGGTGTGGAATCAATTTACGAAGTCAAATCAAGTGTCTTCTGGGCCAACCTGTACATCAAATTTAAAATCTGAATACAGAAATCGATTCCTCGTTAAAAAATAATGGGGTTTTATGTTTTACTTTTTTCGTACGGCCAACAGTCTGGCCATATAACTACAATGTCCAATAATTTGGTTTTTCGCCACAGTGTGCGCTGGTCAGCGCCCACTCCTCAGCATCATAGGTGAGAACAGGCCTAATTAGAGTTTTGTATAGTCGCAGCTTTGTTGTTTGGGGGATTACCCTGCTTTTAAGTTGCGGGACTAGTCCAAAGTAACATCTGTTGGCTGCCTGTATTCTGCGTTTCATTTCAGCCCCCGACTGCATTGTCGCTTGTAACTAGAGATCCCATGTATATAAATTCATTCACAGTATCAAATGTGTATCTTTGAACTTGGATGCGTCCGAGTACTCTTCTTTTATTTAGTATTGTATTACACCGAGTGTCCGTGTATTTAGTCTTGAACTGATTAACTTGCAGTCCAAACCGTGCAGCTGCTGTCTGAAGGCTTAAGAAGGATTCGCTCATGGCCGTAAAAGCGACTCCTAAAAGCATATCCAAGGATAAAAGGCATATTTCTCCTTCCAATTGTCTTTATATATAAACTAACATTTCAGTAATAGGAAAATAGGCCGTGGCAGAATACTTGCGTACCTCAGGCCTTAGCATAGCTATGTAGTTGACTTTTGCTATTGTCTTAATTAGTTGTAATGTATACATTTTATTCATTCGTGTAGATTTATTGTTATTGATTTTGATTTAATTTTGGTTCTTTCAAACATTGGGGGGGGGAGATATTTTTGCCCTCTCTCTATTTTTATTGGAAGGGATGATCGAATCTCCCCCCCCCATTCGCCCCCCACCCCGAAGTCTGCGCCCATGCATGCGTAGAGAAAAGTAGAAGGCGGGGGATGAAAAATCCAAGGGCTGCTATATGCGTCTGTTGTGATAAACAAAGAAGAAGAAGAAGAATATAATAAAATACTAATGAGTTACAATATTAATACAAGATTAGCTAAAAAAAAAATCTACTCTAGCATTCTATAAAACCTTGTAAAGCACATTTACTGATTTTAAAGTGGTGTTTGACAGATATGAATCTGCTGTTGGAGGCAAAGAAATACTTTCTTAATTAGTCCTTCATAGAAGAAAGTGTTAAAGTATAGGAATAACTGTACAACAAGCAGTAATAAATAAGTGCTTATTTATTTGAATCATCCATAAGTTAACGAATAATAAAAATACTGAATAATGTGCTACAGCAGACAATTTTTATTTTGTGAACTGTCAGTGTTGTTATTATGTCAACACTGTTTTGTATTACGTCATTTGCCAAGTTCGTTGCTTTGTTTACACTTGTCATACACTTATCGTTTTCTTGGGTACTTATCGTTGGTTAATTGTTTGGAATTTACCAACAAATCTTTTATATACTGACGGATTAATCTGAAAAGCGAATGCAGGTATGGCGCCGCCCAAGAAAGAGCAAGGGAGGGGGCGGAAAAAGATGAAAAGCATAGAGAGCAGCGAAGACGAGGAATACCGGAGGAAGAGGGACAGGAACAACCAGGTAATTCTTACTAATTGGTTTTTAAAAAATACAAATTTCAGAATTTCAGTAAATATTTCTCGAAATCAATGTTCATTGTTTATGGATATTATTTACTGTTGTCAAACTTTTTATTTTATAAGTGTTATCACCTTTGATTATCTTTTTAAATATCTTCTCATCTTTAATGAATTGGAACTCTTTATTGTTACCATACAGACCGTGTGACTACACATTAAACAGAAAGTGTAATTATGAGTGGTTTGCCCTAGCAATTGAGGTTACTAAAGGATTTCGGTTTGTCTAAAATGCTAATTTCATGATATTGTATTTGTAACATTGCTATGGATATTACCCAAGATATGTCCTTAATATATGTTGTGCTGATTTATTTTATCTAAGTTCGTCAAATGTAATGTGTCGGATCAGAATTTTAAATTACCTGTGGCCTTGTAAAACTGCTGTAATTAGTGTTTATTTTGTAACATTTCGTTTTAGATTACGCCTACATGTTATTAACATGGAGAGTTTTCATTGTTATTACACATTTGTTTCAAAGAAGAATGAAGATTATTGTAATTATGAAGAGTGTGTAATTATGATTATAAATTTGTAAATATATCTGTCTCGGTGTGTGTGCATTTCTATAAAACATCTAAAATATAGACATTCATTTTCATCTGATTGTAAATTGCTAGGACATGTCTATTATGTTTGAATTATGATACAATCTAAAGCTATTGGTACTAGTTCATTAGTATCATGTCTGGATAACATGTGTACCAAGATCGCACTGTATAGAATGCCAAAAACTGATACTTCATTACAAATAAAGTACAGAGGCGACTGATCTGACTCCTAATTGGCCACTTCACAAATAGGCTTAATGTTCACTCATCACCTGCCTTTCTTAGCATTATTCAATATAAAAAACAGTGTGAAATGTCTTATAAATAGTGTCCAGATTGTATCCTGTGTCAATTATTTAATGTTTCTAAATGAAGTCAATGATAATCATGACCTTGCATACTTTGTATTATTAGACTTATTTTGATCATAAATTATTGTTTGCTAATTCTTTATTTATAGATAGACTTTTAGAAGATTGGGTAGTTCCTTTGGTAGCTCAATGGTTTTGAATCATAATTATGTCTCAAAATAAAAATTCTAAAAATCTGGCGTGGTGTGTGTGTGTGTCACAGCATTCATTTGTCATCCTACTTTGAGTATAAATACCTATTTAAGTACTAGTTCATATGAGTTCCGCACGGATTACGTGTGGTTCACAATCACTTCGGTCACACTTGTGTGTTGAAAAACCGAGAACAGTCAAATGTTGCTGGTGAATGTTATGACGTCAGCTCTTGTCCCAACCACCCGTTTCCCTTCATATATCTTCGCATATTACCGGCATAGAACTTCCTTAACAAATTATTTATTTACAAATTTGGTAATTATTATTTTTTTTTAAACAGTAATTACTCTGGAAGAAAAATAAAGAAAATATTTAAAATGATGTTTAAGTGGTTCTTCAAGGTCTGTTAAAAAAAAAACCTGTACCACTACAACCGATGAAGGGTCTTGGGTTCAGTACTACATAAGGAAAGTGTTTTTTTCAAAACCAGTGGTTGTACAGGGAGGGGATAGGGCCAGGGTCACGCTCAACCGCCTGTTTTACCCCAGGGTCGCCCCACGGTCTATGAAATAGAATAATAATTTTTCTGCCATGAGCTGGGATTCGAACCTGGGACCTCGAGCATTGGAAGCTTAGTGTCCTACTACTAAGCTACCCCGCTACCTATAACTATATATAGAAGATTTTATTAATCTTTTAGAAAATAAAATATCTAAAGTTATCTATTATTATTATTATTATTCTTTATTCGTGTTTTTCAAATATCTGAAAATTCCAAGATACTGAATAATAGAAATCATCAATAAGACAAATAAATATCATAAAATAGTGTTCAGTGATATAATTACAGGTTTTATCTATAACTATGTCTTTTCCACAGCTGTATAATATATGAATAATTTCCATTGAAGTTACGGTATATAACCTAAATATCGAATATAAGTCAGCTCCTGCTCTGTATATCTCTAGCTGGATAAGTATATACAAGTACTTTAATGGCAGGAAAATTATTAGTAACTTAGTCAAGAGATCAGAAGCTTGACAAAAAAAGTTTGAGTACCTCTAGTCTATTATATAACACAGGAGGGGAACCTTTTTGTCATTGTTATTTTTATTAGCTGTAGGTAGGCATACAAATTTTAGTTTTTATATTGCCGTAATTTATCTAATGAATATTAATTAATATCAGAGCCATCATTTATGGAACTGCACTCATAATGTTGGATTCTGTGACTATCTCACCTATGGTATAGCATATTATGAATTTTGGTAAGTGGTCATAAAATTCAGAATATGCTCAAGTGCTGTAAACATGCTTGGGAGTTGTCAGTTGTTCTTAGTCACATCTTTCGAACCAATTTTTTCTCCTCTAATTAATTATCAAATTCTATTGTAGTTTATTTTTAACCATTTTTTATTACCAGTAACCATTTGAAATAATTGTAATAGTTATTTTAAATAAACAAAATAAAAGGCTCTTTAGAGGAAGACATTTTGAAAATATTGCATTTAAGCCCTATCAGAATATTTCAATGATGATAATACCTACCTGATATTAAAGCTTGTTTTATTTTACTTTGATATAATGAGTTTAATCTAAATTTTTGAAGCCGTTTTTGGGAAAATTGTAGAAATGTGTTAATGCAATTATATAAAATGGCACCTCCTGTTTGTTGATTTTCACAAAAAAAAAAAAAGGTCTGTTAACATCCCAGAAATACATCTACTTTACTTTGTACAACTTTCTGTTTTTAAGCTGTTCGCACATAGACCATTTTGTGAAACGTGATTATTGGAACTCAGAGCACCTCCAAACTTGTATTATCATTGAAAACCTGGATTCAAAATTTTTTACAATTGCCAAAATTTCCCTTACTGTTTATTTCTTAAATAGTTAAGCAACAGTAAAAAGTAATAAACTTTATTGTTATACTTCGAATCAATATAATTGATCAAAAGGAGATAGGCTGAGTTGGTCAGAAAAAAAAAATCAAATATTTGTTAACTATATTTTCAATGGGACCATTGCGAGCCCCATTGTATGTCCTTATCTGGGCAGAACTGCTGCAGGAGCCTGAAAGACATCAAAAAAAGATCATATCAGTTTGGCTGATCCATCTAGTCTGCCCTGATGAAAATCTCCAATGAGGTTCAAAATTTCAGCATTGAATTTATTATTAGCATGTTTGATTTTTTTTTTCTTACCAACTCCTGGATCATCTCGATTTTTTTTTCAGTAACATTTAGTTTTCTTGAATATCAAATATAGAATTAGATTTAGTTGAGTTCTGTATTTTAACAATATAACATGCAAATTTTAATTTACTTAATATCATTTATATACTAACTAGAAGAAATGTTTTATTGAAACATATGAGTAAAATCACCTGGCCGACAGCAGTTTGGGCTAGCTTGTTGTAAAGAGTAAAGCGGACCCTACACAGTAATTCATGAATGAACATCACAAGAAGTGCCCAGATTGCTCGGGATGACTTTGATCATGAAGACCCTTACAAGTTCAATCATTACTTATCATTGCTGACACCAATTTAGCTCAGTTGTAAACAAAGAAACAGCATAGATATGCTTATTTGGACATTGTCATTTGTAATATTGGGCATCAAGAGAAAAACAAAGATATAATAATTATTCCTAGTGCCTGAAAATCGTTTAGACCAAAGTTCAAAAAATATAAGTCAACTACATACAAAAATCTAGGAAAAGTATTGCGAAAATAATCAATTTGTTAAGAAAAATTGAAAAATTAATGACAAATAAACACAACAGTTAAAGATTTTTTTTCTATAAGTAAATTGTGAAGTTTCCACTTTTTTTTCTCTTCAATTTATTGCCTACTTGACTATTTAAAGAAAAAATAGTTGAAAATGGTTAATAATAATATAGACTAGAGATATAAACATGAAATGAAATTATTTGCTTAATAACGAGACCTAGGTAAATTAACCTATCTAGTAGTAAGGCTAGTCTCATAGAAAATCGTTTTGACTAAAGTTAGTAAAATATAAGTCTAATACTTACAAAAATTAAGGAAAGGTATTGCGAAAATAATAAATTTGTTGAGGAAAATGGGAAAAGTACTAAAAAATATACACAATGTTAAAGTTGTTTTTGTTCTTAAAGTAAATCGTGAAGTTTCCACATTTTTTTTTTTAATTTGTTGCTCACTTGACTATTTAAAAGAAAGAGTTGAAGATGGTTTAAAATTATAAACAAGGGATATGAAAAATTATTTAACTATTTACATATAATGAAAATCAGAAATTTATAATGTTTGTGAGGCCTAGGTAACCTAACCTATCCAGTAGTACGGTTAGTCTCCCCACTACTTTTACCTCAGTCCCCCCTCCACTTCTCGTGAATGAACCTTTGATTTCTGGATGTTCGGAAATCCGCAGTGCACCACTATCAGTACTTTGTTCACTACCTTACACGATAATTCGGAACATCATTAGTGCCTCGGAATGCAATTCCGAATGACCGTGTAGGGTCCGCTTAAGTTTTAGATTGTAAATTGTCCACATTCCTGTTTTGAGGCTTTGTATTTCTTATAATGTTGGAGAAATGGTTGACTTTACACGTTCCTCGGTTTCTTCATGTCGCAGATTTCAATCCTGATCATCAAGAAATATCGAAAGATCTTCTCTTTCAGATATGTTCAATTTGCCAGTCATCGTTTGAAAATAAGCATGCACTTACAATTCACATATTGAAGAGACACGCGGCAGAGGCAAAACAGATTAAACAGGCAGAACAGAAGATCAATATTGTCAACGGATATGTCTTCTCTTCACTAATATACCCACTGCAGACGGCAGTGAAATTGCCCACATTGCTCTAGGATTCTATAGACATCATGTTACGAAAGTGTTAATGTGATAGTAGGTTTACCTGCCAGCAATTGCTCAGCAATGATATATGCACCCGGCAATATAAAGGGCTGGGTATGGGGATGAAACAGTCCCTGAGGGAAAAGTCCTTTGATGAGTGAAGCAAGTGCAAGTGGCAGGGAATTGGTGAATTCCATTTTAAATCTAATCCATAGACCAATAAATTTATTTATGATAGAAAAGTTCTCACCGCCTCTGAATAGACGAATGCTATAAAATTAAACGTTAATTACGCTCCTCTCTGTGGAGTACCAGGGGGCAGAAGCCACGTTAACGGAGATGTTGGACCTCTCTGTCACAAATGTGACCGATAGTCAGAAACTTCAACCAGCTCCTTGTTACCCGCCGTCACAGTTATATAAAGCATAGTATAGCCGAATTCCTTTAAATAAAGAACTATACATGTTTCCTCAAAGTTTATTGCCTATAAAATGTAACATCTCTCTTATATTTGACAAATAATAATAATATAACCTCATGGCAGACCACTTTATACTTTTGGGATATTTCCTAAATAAATAAGAGATTGTTATAATAATAAACAAAATCATAAGAGAATTAATATATTTATTTATCTCAGGTGTGGGTTACTGTCAATCAGATCAAAACAATCAGACAAACTAAAATTAACTATACTAAACACTGTTTGATTTTAAAATAAAGTCAAATATGAATTGGCAAGCTAACCTTTATTCTATATATACTGTTTCTTCCTTTGTTGCACTGAATTCATTTGTCTTCAAACACTTTCCAAAGTTCTGCCAAACAATTCTTCCAAATTGGTAACACTATTACTATTACTGGGTTTTGCCTACTGGAGCCAGGATCCCTTCTCTTATCCTCTCTTCACTGCAGCCACACAGCAACTACTCTTGCCAAAACAAAAACCTTTGTCCCACTCCTCTTTGGGATTTTCCTTCTTGGGAAACTACAGAGAAGCCATTTTCTTTTCCCTGCACTAGTAGAACTAGATTAGCTTGCCTTTCAATTGTTCAACATTAATTTATTAAATCATTTTTACCCACTTCCAAAAAGGTGTGCATTACAATACAGAAGGTTCAACAAGGATCGTTGACATTTTGCTGTTCATGCAACGGAAAAGATAGTCATAGTGGATCCCACGATCAGATTTGAAACCAATGATCAAGATCAGAACTTAAAGATACAGGCAGCGAAAGAGAAAATGTATACGAAATGCATACCTTTCCTGAAGGAAAAGTACAGAGATGATTTCAGCAAAAGAGAATTCTCAGTTAAAAGGTTATGATTCGGAAGCATCCCTCTTAATACAATTAATTTCTTGCAGAGCTTCGGTGTTGGAAGAGAGCAGATACAGACCATGACAGAAACTATTATTTAGACTCGTTAGGAATCCTCCATCACCACATATATAGATCTAGGCCTTCGCTTATTTGATTCTATAAACCGTTCTTGGCATATCTGATATGTATTCCAATGGTCCGACCTAATTTTTTCTTATATTTTTTTTTGTTGTATTATCTATTGATTGATGAGTATGTTATTTAGCAACTTAACACAGTTAAGCAGCCGTACAATGTTGTTGTATTTCTCTCTTCACCTAATACTTTCAACAATGGTTGGAGTTAACAGACACTGATGAAGTACACAAAAAATTGTTTATTTAAATGCCAACATTTCAACCTAAGTAATGATAAGACAGCAATGTTCTGATAATAGTAATTAGCTCTCTTAAAAATAGATCAATACAAACAAGACCAAATGCTATAAACCTGACTTTAAGATATATGCAAAACCCATTTCAGCAAAAGAGAATTCTCAGTTCTCAGAGTTCTTATACATAAGATGTACAAATGTTTAAGAAAATCAAAGATATTTTCAGTTAGATCAAAATTATACATTGATTTCCAAACGAATTGCCTTTGATACTTATAAACCTCAAAATATTTGTAATTGTTTTTAGTATTACAAGGATATAATTTTATAATTATTGTAATTTAACAATCTTCTGAAATATTTGGATTATATATTGAATTTTTTTCAAAGATCCTTCAGTTAGATTAAATAAAGATTCAACTATATATTTATGCTTTCTATTATATTTTTCAAATCTTACTCTTTAATTTGTATTTGCCAAGGCTTGAAACCGAAAAATAACTTATATTTTTAAAAAGTTTCAATATCGGAATTTTTATTGTCGATAGTTTTTCTGTTCTTTTGAAACTAGAACTTATCCCCTTGCAAGTTATCAAGTAAAGATTCAACAGAACTTTTATATTTAAAAAACTTTTCTGTAAAAGTTCTGTTGATTTCACTAAAAACTGAATCTATAAAATTACTTTTATTCATATCTACTGAAAGAATTGATAAATTAGAATCACGTGTAATTCATTTAAGAAAAATTGTAACTCGAATCTAAGTCCAATTACTGTTTATTCACCATTTAACAGAACTTTTTTTAAGAACTTCTTTCCTGAAAAGGTTTCATAGAAACTGTTAAAACAGAACTGTTTTCTTAAAAATATTCACAGGAAGTGTTAAAATGGAACTTTTTAAAAAAGTTTTAACCCCTGGTGGATACAGATCTTTCCATATGATAGTACTTTTAAGATAATTTTCTTATTATATTCTCAGTATGGATATCTTGTTTAGTTTAGTCTTGGTGAAAGTTCGCAACTTAAGCCAAAATGTTGGCACTCATAAAAAATAAGTTTATACTTATTTCATTGTTTTCTTCTTTGGCCACTGCCTCAACCAATGTCCTCATGGATTAAATTTTATAATTCTCATTTTTTAATCAAATTTAGGCAGTGAAGAGATCGAGGGTGAAGTCGAGGATGCGGACCCAGGAGACACTGGAGAGGGTTCAGCAGTTGAAGAGGGAGAACGATCAATTGGAAGAGAAGATTAAACTTTTGTCTAAAGAGTTGAGCTTCCTAAAAGATCTTTTCATTGCTCATACAGGTAGTAGTTATTTTCATATACAGTATAGTTATTAAAGCATTTATAGAGAAGTAACTATTTAATTTATTGTTGAAAAAAAAATTCAAAATAAATCGTTATTTTACATTGTTTAAGCATTCATTTATTTGTATTTTGGAAAATCCTAAATACATAAAAATAATGCTCATAGATTTTTTCTATTTCCCCCCAAAAAAATCGACCACTACAACCCATGAAGGGTCTTGGGTGCAGTAGAATGTGTGGAAGTACTGTTTCAAGGCCAGGAAGGTGATGGGGCCGTATATCACGCTCAACCGCCAGGTTTTCCCCCTTAATTGTTTTTTTAATTATGGGTACCCACTTTATAGAGGCTGGGTGTGGAACCGTTTCTATTGATTTTAAGAAATCCAACCAAATTCAATTTTTTCATTATTTCGAATGCATCCATAATTCTAATATTCTATTGATTGTATCTCTTAGTACTCCAATGCTAAAAACAGTAAGTCTTCTTATCAATGGAACATAATTTTATAATTTTTTTGGTTGACATTGAACTTGATATTCGATTTGTACAACTAAGTGATAAGAAATCTTTATAACTATAGTAAGTCAATTTCCACCATGAAATTGAAATCTAAACATTTATAAACACTAAAAATAAATATATATATGTATATATATATATATATATATATATATATATATATATATATATATACACAGAAATCATTACTATCCTTTCGTGAAATAAATTCAAAATAGGTAGTAATTGTAAATTGTTTGAACATTTATTTGTTGTTTTTTCAAATAGTTTAAATATATACAAACAATGCTCTCTTTTCTTATTTTAAACCATATCTAATTCTAAAATTTTATTCGTTAAATTCATTACTACTATAACTAAAAAATAAAATTTCTATTCGATAGAATACGTTATTTGTTTTTTATTTTCCTATAAGTTTTTTTTTTAAAACTTATTTATTCAGAAATATTACAACCTTTCACAATTAATGACGTTTATAATAGTGTTCAGAGAGCACATTTACAATAAATAATACTAAAAATAAGTCTATATAAACACAATAAGTAAACTAATCAAAATAACAACTAAAACACGAGCATACTATTATTATAAGATTAAGTGGAATTTTTATATTCCTTTTATTTTATTTATTTATTTTTTTAAGTTGAATTAATGTTTTTCAAGACAGGAAAAGTTTCACTTAAACTCACTGGCATAAAGTGGGTTTAAAACTTTCATTTTTTCAAATTATATCAGTTTCATGACATTAATCATGACCTTTTTTAGTATTTTATGTACCAATTTTGATAATTTACTTTTTATTTGTGTTTTTTTGCAAATTAAACTTTAGTTTACTGTCTCCATATTCAGAAATAGATACAGCATACATTAAAAAACAAATAAACCAAATTAATTAGTTTCAAATTTTCTAAAAGATTACAATTTTTTATTTAAAAAAATAATTAACTGGTAATTATTTTGATTCCAACTATTTTTTAAACTTTTATTAGATCTTTGTTTTAGATGTCTTTATTCTCTGTGCTCATAATCTGGAAACTTATTATTTATAATAATAAAAAAATAATAATATAATTGTTCTTATTCATTTAGCCCAGATGTAGTATTGTAATATTTTATTAATATATTTAATATACTATTAAAAGAAATATAACATATTAATATACTATAAACACTATCAAATTGCCCATTATATGCAACTGATTAATAATTTATTAGCTTCACCTGGCCTTACCCACTGCTTATGTTTGATAGATTTTTTTTAAATATCCACATGTCACTTGTGACAATTGTTTTCCAGAACCTGTCATCTTTTGGATTATGAATCAAAATTTTGCAAATATCAACTCTCCATTGTGCTTGGGCCTCTGTTAAGTCAAGTGGGTTGCACCGTGATTTTAAATTCTATATACCCAAAATTTTAAGATGATGAGCCACTATAGTTTAAACCCCTACATCAGTCGATAAATCACATTCAAGAAGAACATTATCATCAACGACCACTAGGCAACTTGATCTGAGTTCATCTGCCTGGCTCATATTCCCATTGTTAAAATGCCTGTACCAGAGCGTGTTTGTATTTCGATGGATAACTGACCCTTCTTCTTTGGCACAAATTTCTTCGGTGGCTGCTTTGGCACTTAGACCTTTTTTCCATTAATGTGTCCAAATACTACATATCACGATTTTTTCTTCAGAGTGTTTTATAAATGTAAATGACCCCATAAAGCCAACTCAAGTCTCAATGAATTTAAGGATTCATCAAAGTAAATGTTGACATCAACAGTAGAACCAAAAACATTCTTATAGGATTAATTATGAGAGTTGGAATTAAGGGTTGTTTGCATGCCCTTTAGTTACAACCTTTGGTGAGTCATAAGTAATAACCTAGTATTTACCAAAAATATGAATTTAACATTAAGGGACTGGAGAAGGAATGGATTTGATCCTATAATTTTGATGTTTACATAGAGGATGAATAAAATAATAGATTTCCTAGAAAATTAAGATATAAACACAAACGTTTTAGAGGTTCTAAGAACTATCTATTGCAATATTTGATAATTTTTTCTAAAAATTCTAAGAAACTGAGTCGTTGAATCCAATCAGTCGCTATTAAGATGGTTGCTATATCCATTAAAAACTATGTTAGAAAAGTCTTCTGAATTATCGGACCTGGGATTTTTGTTGTCACATTGTTACAACCAAAGTCATAAACAATATCCACTGTATATATGTTAAAATAATAATGCATATATTTTTGCATATTTTATAATGTATTATTTGATAATGATGTGATGACAACATTCTTATTCTACTGGTCCAGATGGCATCCATGTCAAATCAATCAAATTATGCCTCCCTGAAAATCCTTCTGGTTCTCGTTTTCATCAATAATGCTTCCCTTCACAATTCAGTATTTTCTACCTCTTGGAAAAAGGCACTGTCCTTGCTTTAAAGGAAAATTCTATCCTTTCTTCTTCCAAAGATTTCCATCTATTCTTAATCCTTTCCAACCTTTCGAACCCCCTGAAAATACTAATGCAATCTCAACATTTCAATTTCCTTGAACAGTCCAATCAACTTGACCCTTATCATTCTTGTTTTTAATCCATTATAGATGACTAAAAAATTAACTGCCCTTGATTGAACTCCTTGAATTTTCCAAAGCTTTTGATACCATTAATCAACCTTTCTTTTTTCTAAATTAAAATCTTTATTCGTTTATGACAGATCTGTTTTTTTGTTTCAATTTTTATTCTCTCAACATATCTAAGCAGTTGTTATTTCTGATAAATCTTTGCCTTCCAATCTTACTCTGTCCTTAGGAGGAGTGAAGCATGGCTCTAGCATATTTCCACTTCTTTTTAGCTCCTGTACCTTCATATATCTTCATTTAAACATTTTAAGGAACACATGTAAATAATTTTTTACTTCAGTTAGTTGTGTTTTTTTTTACATCACTATGGTTTGCCGATAAAATTGATTTAATGTTCCAGTCTAATATCATTTAGTTATTTTTATTTTAACAGCTATATTGCAGTATTTAACCCTGCTATATTAACAGATCTCCAGAACTATGTATAGACTTGTCTTATTATTTATGCTTTAGTTATTCTTTATTGTAATAGATCTCTTGGCCAGATTTATTGATTATTTGTATGAACAATATTGCTATTCTTAAAGGACTTTGTTCCAGAATAATGATGATTTTTCTATTTCTATTTCTATTCAACATATTCCACCACTTTTTTAAATACCATTCCTATTAAAATCAGCCATGTCCCATTCTTGTCCACATTCAGAGAATGACCCATATACCCATAATTATTCATTTTTTCTAATTGTAATACACAAAACTATATATGGCCAGATTTAATCTTTATTTGTCAGTATTGTTATTCATAAGGGACTTAGTCCCAGGATATAGTTATTGAAGGGAATAGAAAAAAAATGAAATATTAATTACAATTTAGTGCCGAGTGAGCCCCCCATGGGGCTGCCAACTAATTATGAGCAAGCTATAGGCAGTTTTAACTGAGCACTTATATCAATAATGCATTTTCTTAAATGAAACAAAGGTATAGTGGAATATAAAGATACTGGGTCATTGATTCCTGTTGGGCACCTGTTGAAGTAGAGTTGCTGAAAATAAATTATAAAAACAAACAAACTACTCTCAAGTTAAACTCAATTTTTCTAAAAAAAAAAAATGGTGAATTACAAAATTATTTTTACTTCAAATTCAGACTTATAATACTTAAAAACATTGGAAGTAAACATTTTTTTTTTTACAATTGTACAATGGATGTTGCATCCTTTTGAAATACTATTTCTCATCTATCTATCACTTTATGCTTAATTGTGTAAACCATTCTTCTTGCTTATTATAGAGATAAATTGGTTTGGTTTAAGTAGGGAGTTTATGTTGCTGATGATGTATATACAAATTTCAGGTACAACCAATAGTGTCCCCACTCAAGGTCTAGACTTAGAGGCGTTGTTGGCTGAAGAAAATGACTCCAGAGATACTTCAACTGGGAGGCAGTCATAAAAAATAAGGCCAACCTTTAAAATTTACACATTTAAGTGTCATGTTATTGTTATTTGTTGTTATATGTTGAGTCTCTTATTCTTTTAAAAATAGTGGGAAATATAAATATTAAAATACTTAATATTATTTTATTGATTAATTTATTGTATTTGTTGAGCTTTATAGTGTGTCGAGTTTGCTGTGTATTATAAATCCTATATATCTACTATTTTCTGCATTGATGAATTGATTGTGATTGATTTTAATAATAATTAATGGTTTTCTCTTTAGTGTTTAATGCAAATCAAATAAATAATTAAAACATTAGTGTATATTTTCAGTATTGTCTTATGTCATATTTTGTTGACTTATTTAGATTAAATATGGAACTAAATAAATCAGTATAGTTTATTATATTTTTGTTATCTTTTTACAATTATAGTCATTAAAGTTAAATTTTACTTACCGTCTTCAGTGTTTGGAGTTATTATGGTTATTCATCATTAACTAGTTTATTAATAGATTTATTATGAAATCATAGTATCATAGAAGTATTAAATTATATATTTTTTGTAATAGGTGGCCTTCAAATATTGATCATATATATTTTATATCGGCCTCTTAATATTGATGTTAAGTATGTCACAATTTTATAATATATTCCTTTCTAATTGTTAAAGAAGTGATTTTAATTTATAAGAAGTTGCAATTTTAACTTGTTAAGTTTTCTAAATTTAATAGAATAAGTGTAATTAGTTTATAAATTATATAAACTGAGTTTCATTCCTTAAATGCTTTATTAGTTATTTATACCTTTGTATCAACTTGCCTTATTGATGAATCAACTCCTGTTTAGTTTACTTTTGAGTTGCCTATAAATGGTTTTATTTAATACATAATAATAATACTATTTATAATGATATGGAGATGGTTGACCATGATTGTAATATTAGAAAGAGTTGGTCAGGGGTATGGTCAAATTAAATACTATATATTATAATAGTAGTTTATTGATTATGCTGACATTTTGACCCGCTTTATAGGTCTTCATCAGGGCTAAAAAAGATATAAAATATAAATTGGTACAAAGTAACAACTAAAATAAATGAATTACTAGTAGATATTAAAGAAATACCAGTTGTCTGATAAAGAACTTATAAGATGAATTCAGTGATGTAGTGGGTTATAGAATATTTAAAATATGGAGTATTATATATATATAGAAGATACAAATAAAAATAAAGGTGAATTTAGGATGCAAGTTAAATTTAAACAAAGTGTGACAAAATAAGAATAAAATATCAGTGGATAACAAACTAGTAGAAGTTACACTTGATATATACAGTTTAACAGATAAAAAAGCTGAACGTTAACAAATAAATAAATTGGAGATCTAATAAGTAGTAGTCACAGGCATAGTAGTAAAGGTAAAATCAGAATAAGATATTAGTGGATAACAAACTACTAAAGGTTACACTTGATAACTGTAGGTTAACAGATAAAGAAACTTCTTTTGGGCATGGTCTCATGGCATTTTATGTGTTAAAATCATATTGACTTAATATTAAGAGCAAATAATTTTTATGTTGACTGATTTACTGATCATTACCACTTAACTAGGAGCACTAGCGGATCGAGAATTTAATTTAGGGAGGGAGGGCTTCAGCCCAAAAGATTTTTTTTTCATATACATATAACAATAATTAATTTGAAAAAAAAAAAAAAGAAATTAACCACCTATATGAAATGGTGTTTAAATGGTTCTTGAAGTCCTATTAAATATAATTACACAAACAAGAATACTTAAAGAGATAGTTTTTAATATTTTTTCTGTAAAACATGGTTATATTTTATCATGTTTTTTGGGGGAGGGGAGGGCTTCAGTGCGAATGCCCCCCGTAGATCCGCCTGTGACTAGGAGACCAGTGACATAGTAAGGCACTTTGTGATCAATCACCTAGCTAGTTACTCTCAGTGCGGCTCTGGCTTTAGGAAAATAAAAAATATGTTTCATTAACCAAATATAAATTGTAAGTATTTTTTGACATTTATTGATTAATATTATATACAAATCATACTTTTATAATTTCTTAACATAGTATACTGTGTGACCTACATACTTTTGCCACTATCGGTAGTGGTTAATCGGTTAAGAAACTTAAATTTTCTCTGAACATAAAAAGCTTGAGGGCAAGTTTTCAACCAATTATGCTCCTGCTCTGCATCCTGATTTCTTCAATGCTTTTAAATTGTTCTCCTTCAAGAGATTATTTGAAGATTATAAACGAGAAATATTCACAGAGAGGCAAGTCTGAACTATAATGAGGACTTTTGATCCCATTTCTTCCAATTTATCTCCAGCCAAGATCACGGTGTGAGAGATCCCTAATGAAATCTATAAGGACATACCTCCTATTTTTCAAGAGCCAATAGGAAAATCTTGCCTGATTCTCACTTCTATTGAAATTTCTTTAACAGTGAAATGGTGATCATGTTTAAAAAAGCTCGTGAAAGGCATAAATGTTGTCATCTGTAACACTTTTACATAGGATTAGATAACAATTTGTGTTTTAGAGTTTTTCTCATCCACCCTTAAATTCTCTGGCAAATACAGTCGATTCTGGTACAGTTAAGTGTCCTCCAAATTTGCTTTCAATTGAGTAACCATTCTGAGGGTTTAATGTGTTTATGACTTAAAAACATCATGATTATTTATGTGTTGTGCAATGACATATGTACCGTACCTCTTGTTTAGTCATAGCTGCACTGAGAACGTAAAGCCTTTTAGGTCATTGGTAAAAGTGTGTAGATCACACAGGAGACAACAATGAGTAATGCTGAAAGTATGGTTTGTGTACTATATTAAACAGTAAATCTATTTAAAAAATCTGGTGCGCACAACATACAACTTTCACTTACCACTCAACTTTGAATAGCAAACTATAACCACCATTAAAATAAGAGAAGTGCTATTTATTTTATCACCAGTTGATTGTACGACTATTAGTTATTAAACTGTTATTTTACATTGCTAAGTAAACTAAAATAGAATTAAGAGATTTGCATTGTCTGGCATAGACAGGTCAAAAGTTGTCACACTAATTGTAAGTGGATACTCTTGGAATATCACAAAGGGAAAATTCATCAAATTATTCAATAATTTAAATTTCTAAAAGGTTACATGATATTTTTCGGAATAAATGGACGATAGATACCTAATTATTTAAATATAATATCAGATCTAGAGTTATTAAACTACAGTAAATATATTTAAGGTTATAAACATATCTATGAAATATTTTTATGTTTCACTTCTTCTTTCACACAAGTACAATGAAATAATATCTTAAACAATGTAATTGTCTTGAATCTGTGGATTTTAAATACTTTTTCAAACTTAAAAAACATTTTAAAAGTTTACATTTAGTAAGAAAATTTTATTTAATTTCCTTGAAAACACGTGATTTACGTTAAATAATATTAGTTTTCAAAAATTGTTATTTATATTTCGTTCGCCACTCTCCGTTACCTTCTTAAACTTTCTATATTAGATATTGTTTTTTCTAAAATTTTCTACTTTCCAACAATATATTATACGTAAACCTTTTGACTAGTATTTCCGAGGATTCATTTTCAACCTGGATAAGCATTTTTATTTTTTTCTCCAGTTTCCTATTATCATATTCTTTAAAACTTCATATTTAGCCATCTTTTATATTTACTGTCAATAAAAGAGAGTTAATTTTTTTAAATAAACCATGTTAAAGGTACTTTAGAGGAAAGTATGAATATTGGGCATTTAAGCCCTGTAAAGTGTAATCAATGGAGATCAGACCTAAATGATATTAAAAACCACTTAATTATACAATGCTACACCAAGTTTAATCCAAATCGTTTGAGCCGTTTTTGAGAAAATCGTAGTAATGTGTTTCACCGTTGATATAAAGTGATTTTTACAAAAAAGTTGTAACATGGAAGGTATATACAAACCTTAAACATGAAATTTCACTTTCATGTAGCTTATTTTTTTTGAGCTAGACTGTTCACACACACAGACCATTTTGCGGGACATGATTATTTGGACTCAGGAGACTTCAAAACATGTATTTCCTTTGAAAACTCTCGAATCGAAATTTTTCACAAACACAATACTGTCTCTTTCTATATATTCTGTATCTTCATATACAGGTAAGTGAAAGTTATAATTTTGAGTTTATATTTGGTTCGCTATCATACAAGGTGAGTGAAGTTTAGAAATATTAAATTTACCAACACCTTCAAAGATATTTATTCATATGATATAATACAATTAATTTATTTATACACTTTATATATATATTTATAATCATACATTTATAAAATATAAAGAATCTACTAATATTATTTTAGACCTATCAGTCAAGAAATTACTAATGTTGGTTTAAATACGAGTAAAGTTTAACTATGGATAGATTAATTTAGTTTTTTCATAGAGTATGAACACGTTTTTATCCATTAAAGTGACTTTTTTTATATCCTACACAATTATTTTCTAAGCTGTTGGTACACATAACAATAAATATGAAAATTTCTAACTTGGTCATTAGACAACCAGCTATTCACAAGATAATTAATTTAGTTTAATAAAAGTACGACCATCAACGTACGTTTTAATAAAATTCTGTGATTAAAATTTTTTTGAGTCAGACACAATTTAAAATATTATTTATTTAAAATTTGATACAAAATTAGGAATAAATAATTATTTCGATACAGTGAAATGGATTAAAATAATTTAATTCTGATCAAAAATTTAATCTTATCTTGACTAGGTCGACTTTATAATATTGTTTTGTATAATACCTCATATATATATATATATATATATATATATATATATATATATATATATATATATATATATATAATAATTATACAAATACAGACATTTTACAGAAACAATACAATAGATAATAACCAGTCATTTAACCTTTATTAAATATTGTAAATAATACATTTATTATAATATTTCACATGATTTTATGTATATAAAAACTATTAAAAGCAATTAAAATTTAAACCATTATCTCAGAATAATATTAGTGTTTGGTGGGGGATCCTTAGGCTTTTTAAAAATGCTCCACGATAACTTTTTTGAATCTTTGGTGTCCTTAGGTGACTGCTGTTTCATCCTGGTATCTGTGTCTGGCTTTTTGGAAGATTTTTGTTGCACTGACTGAAAAACATAAGTTTTTAAGAATAATTAATACCACTTAACTGAAAAAGCAAGTTTAAAATATATTAAACTTTTGATGTCAGATAAATAAATGAAAAATTATCTTCATTCTTGGGAAGATTTAGTAAAACTTTAAGATTTTTTTAAATCTGATTACATACCATATGAAAAAAGTACAAATTTACAATATTGACAATGTAGTCCGGGTAAGAAAAGATATTAAGTAAAACTCCTCTGTTTTATTTCAATTACAAAAGCCTACGTAACAAGCTCATCATAATTATTTCTGCTTGCTTACAGACTTGTTTGAATTAAGTTAGGGATGAAACTTTATAGATAAAGATCATCTGGTTACATATCTCTCTTATCAAGGTGTCTCTATGAATGAGAAAAACTTTGGTTAGATTTAAATTATGAAAAAACATGCTATGGCCTAATTTGGTATAGTGGGCAGCATCACTACCTGAGAACCAACAGGACAGTCCCATTTCTAGAACATATGAGTATCTAATTCATAGTGGTTGCTTAATTCTAAAACTGAGTTGTACTTATCCTTGTTCAAGAACTGAAAAGCTTATTGAATACAAAAAGTAATCTTCCACTGAATAAGACTAAAATTAGGGTTGTGAGAAGTTATATACACCTGACTATCAATATATGAGCCAAGTAATGAATTTTCAAACCCAGAACTAATGACTAATTCTACTAGAGTAAAAACAAGAGTTATATTTACAATATCAGTATCATAATATAACTATGGCTCAGATCAATATCCCATGAAAATAAACAAATTCTGTCTTCCTGCTCTTTTGCTCCTTTCAATTTGGCTGTGATTTCCTTGAGTATGATGAACTGTTGTAAGCTTGAGATGTAAGTAAATAAACTATGACAGTTTCATCTCTGAAATTCCCAGGCAATTTCTCATTTCTTGTCGATATACTAATATGAGGTGGTTTTATGCTGCTTTTTACTCCCAACACCTACGTACCCTTCTTTTCCAATTCCTAGAACAAAAAAAACACCTCCCAATGTTTTTAATTTATTTTTCCTGTTTTAGTAGTCAACTCTTTGAATACCAGATCTTAACCTAACAACCTATCACATTAGGCTATTTCCTACTGGATTTCTTACCTATTTAATTCAGTAAATCTTCCTCTGTAGCATCCCTTTTTTATCTCCACCCACAAAAATAGTAATTATGTTAAAAATAACCCTGTGAGTAAAACAGTCAGGAAAATATATTTCTGTAGATCTTTGTTTTAAATACTACATCATATGGTCCACTTGTTTTTCTTTTAACAGCCATTGAAATAATTTGTAAGTCTATTATCTGACTTATAAGTTGCCTAGTTTTTTGTGGGCTTCTTCAAAGCCTGATGAAACAGACATATAGATTTTTCTTATACTAATGTTGGTAAGTTTTTGTTCGATATCATGAAAACAAGACAAGAACAATCAACATTCCTGAATAACCATTTATTAAAAGAAAAGAAATCCTTACGCCTTATCTCTTTAATGAAAACATTACAACATAATATAGATTTGTTAAGATGGATAAGGCTGCCCAATTACCAAATAAAAGAAATAGGAATGAAAATGTATGTATTATGTATAAGTGTCTTTCCCGACAACATTGGTTCCAGGCAACCGACACTAGTTATGAAGTTCCTAATGGCATCGGACGTTGGAGACATATTAGTTTCGAGACATCATCACCATTTGGCAACAAGTTGACCTAAATCCCCTATTCAGTGTTTCTGTCTGTTGATTGTGTCCTCATTAATGGCCAACAATCGTAGGAGTGGACTCTGACGTCCGATGCCGTTTATTTGACAACTTTTTTATAATTTCTCTTTATTTCAGTATAAGTGTTATTTTTAGGGATATAAATCTTAATATTGAAAATGAAATGATAAAAATTTTATTTATTACATATAATTAAAATTTTCATGATATAATTTATACTATATTTGTGTAATACTTTTTAAATCTCAAGATAAAAATGATGTATATAAAAATTCGAAATTACATAATAAGTACCGTATTGTGGCAATGCAAGAGAAATATAGTGAAGGATTTGGGTATTCACTATTACATTGGAATTTATTTTAAGGAAAGGAAAAATGAAAGTGAAGTATTAAGTTGCTCCTTGTGATACTGGTTGAAGTGCGACAAACAGAATCCGGGCATACCATCACAGTCCTCACAGAAACTAATGACTCCGTGTTTTCTCATTTGCCTCCTTACTTTCTAGGGTCTTTCTCAGTTCTCTATAGTGTTCGCTGCTCTGCTTTTGGTATTTCTTCCCTCACCTGAAGACTTAATGAAAGACGGGATACGGCGGTCGGCGCTAAGTTTCGAATTCATCAGCGAGAACCGATCGGAACTATGTAATTGATATGGGTTCTTCTTTTTTCATGTTAAAGATGATCCAAGAATTGAACACCGATGTTCCAAACATTATCTCAATCACCACCCATGTGCACTGTCCTGTCATGGCAGAAATATGTATCGCATTCTGGGAGATGATACTGTAGAGAAATAATTCTTAATTTTTGATGGTCCCCGGCGTCCTACAGCTTTATATCAGATATAATGATTATTTAAATTTGTATCTTTACAATATCTATTTAATATCTATTAAACTCCAATTAAAATGATTATTTTAGAGACTTAGTGTAAGATAGGCAAAATTCGAAACAATCCCAGCCACTTGGTAGTCGAGAACAATATCGGAACCAGGGGACTGTAATCACAGCTAAAGTGCTAATAAGTAATCTTGAATTTAAACAAAATGAAATTAACAGTAATAATCATATTATATTATGTATCTGATTATGACCTCTATAAATTGTTTCAGGCTCAACCAGCATTTAAATATTTCTTGAATTACTCACTTTAATGCAAAGTGGAGTGACTAACTTAAGGACAAGAACTCTTCCTGATGATCTAATCAGTCTAACCACTTCCTCGTGGGATGACCATTTGACATCAGTATCACCAATTCCTACAATTAAGTCGCCTTCCTTGAGACCGCAACGCTTTAAAATGAAAAACAAATTTTAGAATATAGTAGAAAATTGAACTTTATTCTGGGACTAAGTTAAAATTTAAACAGTAGGCACCACCATTTACTTCTCACAAATTCAGTTCATAAAATGAAATTTATGGTTTCGAATCGTCTGTTTAGGATGTAAGGAGATATTGGAAAAGGGGGTATTTGAAAGTTGACAGGGAAGAGGCATGACGGATGTTATGTGGCATGGAATTCCAGTAGGCGACGGAGCGGGCTAAGAAGGAACGTTCATAGGTTTTTGTACTGTGGAATGGAATATAGAGGTCAGAAACACAGGGTTCTCATTTTTATTGAGTGGACTAAAGGTTTAGGCTGAAGGAGGCAGTAGATATAGGAAGGGTGCTGGGAGTTGATCGTTTGGTATAAGAAATTTCCAAGGAAGTATTGGCGGTGGGAAGAGGGTCAATAATTTATTGATAATTATTAATCCGAATATATTTTTTTCTAATATAAAACTAAACCTTAAAGAGAAAACTTTGTATTTAGAGCACTCTTGGCATAATTAGGAAGCATAAGTTCCCAAAATATCTTTATTAAAAATATTTTCAGCCATTATGAATAAATATGTAACAAGATATATGTTTACTTACTGTATATCTCACTGTCAAAAAACAACAAAACATATGTTTCTGAGAATACGTTTTAAATAAACATGTAAAGTATCTCGTAAAACATTTTTTTTTTGCTACATGTAAATTGCTTATCATGCAATTTCAATAGAATAATTGATAAGCAGGCAATAAATTTTAATAGAAATTCAAAAATAAGAATAATTAGGTTAGGGGGATAGTTGTTGTGGGTTGCAGTCACAGTGAGAAAAACAAACAAATTATTTTATTTTGTTCTGATATTTCTGCCTAAGTTTCAGAGCCACATATAAAATAGCTCATATACTTTAAAAAATAAATGCATTTTTAACAATTTACAATAAAAACCTTTATAAAGCTAATAAAATTAAATGTTTATAATACCTCAGCGAGTGAACCTGCATGTACACCAGTTACTACAGCTGGACTCCCTGTAGTAATAGAAAAACCAAACCCTCCAGAAGATTCTTCTAAAGCAACTGTCCGAGGTGGTGTCCATCTAATAAAAAAACAACAACATTGATTCTTATACATAACTAGTAAAATACTTAAATCCGTAATGAAGTTTATTATATCCTTACCTGTTCCTGGCAGAGAAAACACCCAAAGGTCCAAGCCCAGAAAAAAGATCTGATGTAGGCACTGAACCAGGATCAGGCGGAGTAGGCCGCAACTGTGTTTTTAATTCTCCTACAGACTCAACAATTAGTAAAAATGATAAACCAATTTAATGAACCTTCTATTAACATTCAAAACATGCATATTTTAATTAATTAATTATCCGTCCAACTTATTTTTCAACATTTTTAACAGCCAAATATTGATACATGGTTACCTGATGAATAATTAAATATTTATTTTTTTTTATATTGTTTGGACTATAATAATTTCTGTAAATGTTAAAGGCCCTTCTCACCTCATATGAACCATTTATTAACCATAACTAAGTAATATTAACTAATTGTACGTATTGTAATTTACAATCACCTTGAGGTAATGGTGGTTCTATGATGTCAGCCAGGCTTTGTGTTTCATCACACCTATTTATTATATTAGACCTAGCACCTAATACCCTTGATATTGCCTCCTTGGTCCTTAACTCTCTGTTTAACCTCAGCACTCTCCAGGCTTCTTCCAATCTCGCCGAAGACTTTAACAGGTGTGCTTCTCCTTAAGCAAATAACAGCACTTGATGATTATTTGAAAATCACTTATACACATATCCAAACTCACTAATGCTAACCAATATACATAGATATGTTTATTTATTGAATATAAAGTTGAATTAATTTTATACATAGTGTCACTGATAACCTGCTTTAAATTCTACAATGTTTATAATATAATGAAATTTGAAGGATCTCAATTGGATAACCTGCCTGTTAATTTACAGCATATTTTCAGCTTTGTGATCTGTCTGAGTATTCCTTCAATGGAATAGGGATTTTTTATATAAAGTATTTAAAGTGTATTTTTGGTTTTCAAGTTGACCACTTTTTTGGATCCAAAGTGATTTGATGAAGCTAGTTGCAAAAAACCCAAACATAAAGTTCCAAATTCATTTGATTATTTTGGTACACTATATCATTCACTCTGCTACATTATGCAAATTATAATAAATATTAAAATAAAAATAATCATCCACAGAATATCTCTAAAAAATAATACTGGTTTCTTTAATTCTTATTGCTAATATCCTAATAGTTAGTTATTCTCACAGCTAGAAACACTGTATAATCACACTATCAATCATTGGAAAATGTGGTGAATGCAATATACTAGAGACAACTTATGTTAGACAAGACCATCTACACAATATTACAGAGAGATTGAAAACTGGTCAAAATCAATATACAGCTCTATTTCAAAAATCTTCCACATCACATAATCTTACTATGACTTAATTAGGAATAACATAAACTGAAACTAAGTTGAAAGACCTATATTGGCAATAGCAAACAAAATTCTGAGAACAATAAATTGTTTAAAAATTGCAACTATTAAACCTTGGATATTAAGAGCAGAAGCCCTGAAGATTATATATATATATATAGGATCATATCTTGTTAATGATTTGCCTTAAGATCCCTTAATAAATATTCTAATGTCTAAATAGTTTTAAAAGATCTTATTCCGATTAAACATCTGTTCCACTTTGTACACTTCATCAATTGTTCCAAACCTAACTGTAATTCCTAATATATTATTGATATAAAAAATCTCCTTAAAATATAAAAAATAGAATTATCCAACATGAATATTCGATTTCCCTCTCAAACACTCCTTATTCATAAATGAGTTATGATTTTGATACTCCCTTCCCAACAACTATCCCCACTATGATATAAGACCTTTCTAAATCCATTGATATTAACAAAGAATTTGATCCTATTAATTATGAATATGACATACAAAAGTTATGCCTGCCTTATTCTTAAAATTTAAATTTATCAAATAGTTCATAATCTCCCTTTTTATTTCCACTTACTTACATATGGAATATAAAGTCAGTGCTGGCCTTAGGGCTGAGCGACCAAGACAATCGTCCCACTACTAAATAGTTCATTCATTAACAAAGAAGCTGGTCATCAGTTTGATTGCATTTATTGAAAATTTTCTCTGATATATTCTATGCATTTATTTACTATTGACAAATCATTCTTTGATTACATAGCTAATTCTTTGATCAATTACCTTTTTTATTTTCTATGATTCTACAAAATGTTGCATTTAACTATCTTTAGTAGTTTCTTCAAATTGAGAAGAAGAATTTCAATATTAGTAATGAATTTGGACTATTAAAAGCCTGTTAGTTGTAATTTTGGGCTATTATTATAATTACATTAGAACTAGGTCTTTAAAGAGTGTCTAACTCAATTGTCAGCAAATTATAAAACAACTATAAAGGAGGGAGATGGTCTGGGGTTGCGGTCATAAATAGGCTAAATAGTTTTACCACCATCTCCTTCCTTTATAATGCAACGGTCAACTATTAAATATTCAATATAAAACAACTATGTTCGATGAATACAAAATAACAAATCAAATAATACTGTATTATTCAAATGATACCTAAATATGCTACAAAGTAGATATAAACACACACATACTTAATATTGCTGCATGTTGTTCCCTAGCACTATCGAGCAAGCTGTCATTTTGTTTCAGCATACAATCTACTAAGGTTGTAGTTGCTTTGCCCTTTTTTGCGACTCCATCAGCTGAATAGCCATGAGCTAGGCTTGCATAATATTCACACTTCAACCGGCACAAGCAGGACCAAGGTAGTGGTAAGAATTCACATGGGCTAGTCAGTTCAGTGAGATGTTTATAACTTTTACTAAGCTGCACAGAAACATAAAAAAAAAAAATGATGTATTTGTTTTTATAATTCAAACAAAAACACTGGATATTGTTCGTAACTACTCATGCATAACGTTTTTAACGACTCAGCCTAAACTTTATAATGAAAACATCTGTTGTAACAACATATCAGCTTTTACGATGAAAATGTCAGTTCAGTGATTCAAGAAGTAATTGTTACATAGTTTTTAATGGATATGGAGGCTACCGTCATAGCAATTGATTGGACGTAACATCTCAATTTCATCTCAAAATGATTGGATATAGTAAAAGTTGAATCTCGGAACTCCTAAAACCCTTTATTAATAAATTCTTTACAAAATCGAAAGCATTGCATAAACACCATTTCTGGATAATTTCATCAAAGTTGCATTTATACTATTGAATACGTTCTGCTACAAGTAATGAACCAGGATGCTTTTCAAAATCTAAAAACCAATTGCTGAAAGTAGATGATGAAAAAATTTCTTTAAAACATTAAATTGGAGCAGCAAACAAAAATCTGTTTTAGATGGAATCATAATGAAAAAAAATCATGGAGTTACGTTTCGGTAATTACAATAACAAATTGCTTTTGACATATAGAGCTCATCACAAATTATATTATGGATGAAGAAACAGAACAAAACTTGGACCCAATCCCTTTATCTATTAACCACAGCCATCTACTATTTTTAATGACACCTTATGAGACAAACTGAAATTGATCCATCACTATTCGTAACTTACAATTTTGGTTTGAAGGGGCAGTTCAAGTATGCATTTTAAATGATGGAAGTAATTTTTTTTAAACAAATCATTGAAAATTCAATCTGCTCCTTGGGAAGCATAGGTTAAATTACTGCTAACCAGATTATAATAATTAAATTGACTGAGTCTAGTGTACTTCTTAAGTACTGTTGTTTAATCCAAATCAATAAAAATAGGTCTTTTTCAAGATTATTTGAAAAACTAATGAATTATCAGCTTTTTACCACTTTTCTCCATCCACTCATAAACTTGATTAGACTATATAGGTTTGATTGATTGATCAAGTATGAGTCTAACATTTTTAACAGAATTTAGGAACTGAGGAAAAAAGTTTGTCAATCTGATTATACTCAACCTTTTAGATCTCTTCCCTCCTCCCCTCCCCATAACATATTGATTTGAGCATAGGTACAGTCCACACTTAGCCCACGTCTAATTAAAGTATACCAATGACTACAACCATAACAACCTGTTTTAACCTGTACTGACCCATGGAGGATGTTGGGTTCAGTACTTAGAAGGAACTCAAATTAAAGGTACCCAATTTAAACAGGCTGGATGAGCTCTAAAAGGATCCCTGGATATTCTGACCCATGGTTGTATAGATAGTGTTGTAATATAGGAACAGCTTTATTTTTTATTTCTAAAATTTAATAATTTTTAATGTCCTCATGCTGATTATAGAAAAGTAAATCATAACAAATATTTGTGTTGGATAAAGATTGATTAAAAGTTTAATAATTAAAAAAAGTAATTAGAAGAAAAAACAGTTGCATGGAATTAAATAAATGGATAAAATTCATCCTACAGTCAGATGTCTGTAGATGTTAATAGTATAATTACAAATTTCTTACATGATTAGCTTCCAGAGCTAGGTCAAAGTTCATGTCTCCATCCCTTTTATCCTTAGATTGTAGCTGAAGCTTCTCAAACAAAAATTCATGAGCTTGTGCCTGAAAAATAATTTGAAAAAACTATCAGTGAAGGAAGATAATTTTATTTATGAAATAAAAGTATATGTTAAAAGGTGATTAATCCATATCAATGAGATGTTTATAAATAAAAAGCCAAAGCACCAAAGAACTTCTGAAGTGAAGGCTTTCTTATAATAATCTATTTGGTGAATGGATATTATAAAGAAAAACCAGGTGCATTTAAATATTTAATCTACTTACTTGTTTGACTGAAAGAAAAAGCAGAGCTAAACCTAAATAAAGTGAAATATACAATTGGTATGTTTAGAAAATTGACCATTTGTTTCATTACAAGCAGGAGTGCCCAGAAGGGGTTTTATGGTGAAAGTTGCGCTATCAACATTTTTGAGGGGGCATATTATGAGGAGTTTTTGATTTTTTGAGTGAGGGGGGTGCATTTCAATAGGGTTATGAATTCTTGGAATGAAAAATTTTAGAATTACGAAAAAGGGGAAAACATGGAACATACTGTAATGTAATTGTATATGATCAACGATTTTTCTGATTCCACTTTCCATTGCTCTTTTTTTAAGATAAGGTGAGCAATAAAATATCTTGGAAGAGGAGGGGGGAGATTCTTTCAGGGGAGAGGGGGAAGGGGGCACTCCTGATTACCAGTGCTGGTCTCTGGTGTTACTAAAGATGACTAACAATTTAACAATTGGAGAGGGGATACTTTCCTAAAAGCTGGAAGATCGCCGATTTGATACTCCTCTACAAGGAAGGGAATAGGGATAAACAGCTCCCCAAGTTCTATTGGCCCATATGTCTCCTCCCTGTGATGAGCAAGGTCCTGGAGAACCTTATCATGACCAGTCTATACAGTTACCACGGCAATACGGTTCCACTAAGAAGGAAGGGAACCGCTGATGCCCTGCTGAGAGTACGTGAGGACGTTGAACTGAGGACGGAGCGGTATGTCATGTTGATGTTATTTGACATATCCTTTGCCTTCGACAGTGTCTGGTGGCCTCTTGTGCTCCAGCAGCTACAGAAATATGATGCTCAGAGTAACTTATATGCCTTGATAAGAAGCTACTTACAGGATAGAGGTGTTAAGGTTCGTGGTAGTTCTTATGAGACTGAAGCCTTCATAGAGAGGGGATGTCCTCAAAGATCAATACTTGGTCCAGCTTTATGGAAGATAGTTTTTGATAAGTTGTTGGGAGTGTTAGAAGAACAGCGGTTCCCTGCTACTGGGTACGTTGACGATTTGGCAGTAATGGTGGCCTCCAATAGCAGAGCCTGCTTAAGACAGGAAGCAGAACAATGCGCCAACTTGGTCAGAGAGGAAAAAGTTGTCAATGGCCGCTTCAAAGACTCATACAATTCTCATGAAAGGGAAAACTGATAGGGCACACCCTATTAATATTACAATTCAAGGATCGAGAATATGTCCAAGTGAGGTGGTCACTTATCAAGGCGTAAGGATTGGGAAAAGATTCAACGTCACCCCTCACTTGGACTACCTTAGAAACAGGGTGGCCCTATCTTTAATCGGTCTTAGTCGGGTTGGGGGCACTTTCTGGGGTCTCAGATACCCAGCAATCTTAAACATTTATAAGGGAGTGATTATAGGTATCTTGAGGTATGAGTCTACCGCCTGGAACCAAAACCTTTCGCACCGACAGAAGAGTAAGTTGACGACAATACAGCGAACGGCATTGCTGCAGGTCACCAGGATGTATCGGAGCGTATCCCATGAGGCGGTGCAGGTATTAGCAGGAGGGGTACCTCTCAACCTCCTCCTGCATGAAGACATGATGAAACATACGTTTAAGAAAAATGGCTCAGCAGGTCTGCCGGGAAACCTTAAGGTGAGAATTGACAAGAACCCTCGCAAATGGAAATACATTATACGAAAGGACACAATGGAAGAATGGAACCGGCGGTGGGTGATAACCCCAAAAGGATCTACCTTGAGGAAGTACTTCCCCACCGCCCGGTCACGTTTAGAAGCAATGTGGATTATTCTGGACTACTAGCTCTCGCAATTTCTCACAGGCCATGGGGGCTTTCGAGCAAAGCTTCATTGCCATGGGATGAACATCGACCCCCTATGCCCTAGCTGCGGTGTTCCGGACTGAGCACATCATAGTTGACTGCACCGCCTTTGAAGAACTAAGGGCTAAGTTACTGAGGGAAACCGGTCTCTACATTCCCACAGAAAACGATTTTCCTCAGTTAGCCACTGCGAAAAACTTCCCGTACTACAAAGATTTTGTGTACGGATGGAAAGCCGCGGTGGAGCCAGCCCATTTCAATATAAGAAGAGGAGGAGGAGGTAATTGACCATTGGCATGAAAAGGATGAGAAATTCACTCAAGCAAACCAACAAATAAACAAGACTTACTTGCAGCAGTGAGATGTTAAGCTGACCTGCCTAACATCTTACTATTGCAGACACCCGTATTGCCTACTAGCAACGGCAGGGTTTTAAATAAATAAATATAATAAAGACTAACAATTTAACATATGATTGGAAAAGCTTAGCATATATATACATATGTTCTTTTTTGCCTAGGTAGGGGAAATATCTTTCATAAGACGAAGTGCAATGAACAAAAAGTCTCACAACACTGCAAGAATCCTTCTTACAAAAACACCACCTCCCAATTCTTCTTTACCACTCCACAGAACTGCTGTCAAGCATTACTTCACAGTGGGAAGAAGGGCTATTTGCCTACTTCTTCTCTGAATATCTTATTTAAGCTAAACCATTACCTGGCCTCTCATTTCTCTCTCCTGTGCTCTGAGCCTTCTGCCGATTTGCACTGCTTAGTCTGCTGCAGCAGTCATCATTAAAGCAACTAAGTTTTCCAGAGATGATTTCATTTCAAATTTCATGTCTAGCTCATCCTTTTGTCATACAAAACCTGAAAACAGACGAACGAATGTTTCACTGTTTCATCCACGGGATCACACATTGGCCAAGATGAACTATTCTCTTTTTTGGAGTGGGATAAGTAGGCCCTGAAACAACCATGTCCTGTAAGTAGATGGGTGAGGTAATAGTCTATCTCCCTGTTTCCTAGATATCCTTGTTGATATATAGGGAATCAGATGGTAGGTCAATCTTCCAGAAGATGAGGTGTTCCAGTGTCTCTGCTATCTTTCAATAGTATGATTTCCCTCTTCTTTTTCTAAAGTAGCTCAGTGAACATCCTGCTCTTCTTGTTCTCTTCGGAACATTAGGCTGCCAAAAGATCAATCGGAGGTATATCTGCGATACACATACAGCGTTGTAGGACACACTGCGAAAAGCTCGAGCGACACATGAAGCACTCCTTCAATGCACACCAGTAGCTCAACGGACATGTGACTGCACTTGGTTGGCTTCCGCCCAGATCGGTACTGTGTTCAAAAGTGTGGAACTCACTATATTAGCCAGAAGCTTTATCTGATTTTCCCTTGGTCCACCAATATTTGGCATAATTCTGGCCAAATCATTAATTACTTGCGCTGCTTTAGTGCTAACTTTGAGTTGAAGTGTTCATTTAGCAAGTGTTCGTCAAATCGAAGCCTGGCCTCAGTCTGCACGCCGAGATATCTAGTTGATGGCTTAGATAAGATATCAAACTCCCTGACGGTGAGACCGATTGTCTCCCTCACTTTCCTACTGGTTATTAATTATGCCTCAGTTTTATGATCAGCAAGTGGGAGGTCTACCACTGAATAGCTAAATTATATTTATATACACATACATACACACATACATATATGTATAGGATATGTGTACAGGATGTTAAGAATTATATTCTATGAGCTGCAACGGTAGAATGCAGAGGTAGCCTAAACAGAGAAAGAAAAAAAGGATGCTTGGAAGAAATATATAGTAAGCAAGAATAAGGCTTATTGGCAAGATTATACTTGGAAGTGAAACATAGGGAAGAATGTTATTTAAGAGGCTAAATACAGATCTTGGCGGGTGTCTGGAAATTAGATATAGAAGAACTTCAAAGAGTTTCTGGAACACTATGAAAATTCTTAGAAGAAAGAGGGAAAAATAAGTAGGAAATAAAAAGAATTGCATCTTTGGATGGAATAGATCACAGAACTACCAAGAGAAATAGGTATTTGTAGATCATATAGATAATGGAACTTTGATAGAATATCTTAGACCAACTAGAGGATATGGTTACTTTTTATCTATATGAATCAGAAAGTCAGATGATTTTGAAGAAAAATGTATGCCAAGTTGCCCCAGCAGAGATGAAACATCTAACTAAGAAAAGTAGTGAGTAAAACCAGACAGGACTGTGTAAGAAATAACAACATATTTGACATTAAAGTCCTTGAGAACCCCAGCTAAAGTAGTTATGCTAAGTTTATAGGATGAGAGAGATGGCTAATGAAATCAAGGCCAATAGGAAAGTGCCTTATCGGTAGACCAAGAGTTAACAATAATAATTACACAGATGGACTCATAAGGGAACACGGTTGCTCAATGAATTAAGTCCAAAGAATAGTTCTGAAATGAAAAACCTACTATAAATGGACTGAGGTCTAACAGCACACAGAAGATAGTAATAAATAGTATTGACAAAATAATGTTCATACCAGCATAAGTTGGGTGAGCATATCAAGGACACTTGCAGTTAGATCCATAGATGGTGGATTAGTGAAGTTCTCTGCTAGGTATTTAAGAGCGCCAGCAGCTCTCAACCAGTTATCCACACCTTAAAAATCAAATGTTGGCTTTAACAGAATTATCTAAAAGTTTGCAATTGTCTTTCTTACTCAAAATGGAATAATAATAATTAATAAAATTTGGTTAATTAGCAGAACTTTGTTTTTGTAAGATTACAGTTGTAGAATTATGTAATTAAACTAATTATTTTTTTTAATTCTTAAGGAACAAAAGTATATCTGTAATAGCATTAATTTTTTTTTATTTGGGTTTTTCTACAACTTAAGGAGTCATATTCCCAACACCCAAAAGCCACTGCTCCCTGTCCATCCAATCTCCTTTACTGCTCCACCCCTCTGGCTGTCATACTTTCCTCCACGTCCTTCATCCATTTCTTCTTTGGCCTTCCACGCTTCCTTCTTTCAGGTGGCATATAGTTATAAATTTTCTTTGGCCAGCGGTTCTCATCCATCCGCATTAAGTGGCCATACTACTTTAATCTTTTGGTCCCAATCAGGTAAAGGATGTTCTTTTGACATCCGAACTTGTCTCTAATTGCTGCGTTTGGTATCCGCTTGATTCTAGATATGCCACAGCTTCTTCTCCAGAAATCCATTTCCATGGAAAGCAACCTATTTTCCGCCTTTTTTGTAATTGTCCAAACTTCTGATGCATAGGTGGCTACGCTTTCTACAAAGGAATGGTATATCTTCTTTTTAGTTTCCAATCTCATTTCTTTACTCCATAGGGTTGAATTTATCGAACTTATAATTCTTTTCCCATTGTTTATTTTATGTTCAATGTCAACCTCACTACCTCCCTCACCAACCTCACTAAGTAATTAATTTAATTACTTAAAAATATCTTATTTACTGTTTAAAATTATACTATTCCATAATCATAAATTATTTTAAATTGAAAATGAACTAAATAAAATTGTGTTTCACTAAAAAAATACAAACTTTAACACATTAAAACTAATTTAATCCATTATCATTTATTTTAAGGCTTGTTTTGAAGTATAACTAAGGTCAACTGAGAAAATTGGAGGGTCTGGGAAAGTCGTTAAAGTAGACGAGAGTCTTTTTTCTGAAAGAAAAAATCATGTATGGAGAGTTCTTCCTGAACAATGGATGTTTGGCTTTATGGATTAGTTTGTTGAAAAACAGACAAATACTTCATCGTAAAAATTTATTTGACTGTTGGAAAGGATACAACACCCCACAACTGAATGAAGCAAACTATCATCATTTGCAGGTGAATCACCGGTATAACTTTGATGATCCATCAACAAATAACATAGAAGAGAGCTCTCCTTCGTCTATTTCAGCTTCGATAAATATTTAATATATATGATATAAAATAAAAGTGTTTTGTTATTATAATATTTGTTTTTGTGTTTTTGAATTTCATACGAAGATAGGGATTATCAGTGCCTTATCAGAATTATCAGAGTTCAGGTTATAAACATTGGCAACGTTGATAGCAGTCACTTGGGGACCAGACTGTTCACATGTACCCTATTTTATTTTATACAATAAATAGAAATTTTTCATAAAACTCAGTACTATGGCAAAGCTCACATAGATTTGTACTTTGAAAATTATTAAGTTTAAGATTCAATTATTCATTTTTTTTTTATTCATAAATATTAAATGCAATCAATATAAATATGATGTTTTTCTGCAACAGGTATGAAAATGTATTCAGCCATAATAGCAAGTGTACACATAGTCAGTAGTGAAACTAGGATTTAATTTTGGGGCAGAACACTGGGGTCTGTGGATCGAGATACCTTTCCCAGGAAATTTCTAAAGATCACCAAGTTGTTTATACCATTTGATGTAGGAAACTTATTGTAGCTATTATAATTGTTGGTTTAGGGGGGCCTTCAGCCCGAAAAGCTCTACTAAATCCGCTATCACACATGGCATCTATAGTAGTGATGTTCCACAGAGTTAGAAACTGAGCAATCAAGGCTGCAAATATTTATTATACAGTAGCCTGACAATAATATCATTTCAAATTATTTTCAAAGAAAAAAGCAACTAGTAAAAAATAAATCTGTATAAATAAAATTCATATAGAAGTTTAGTATTTGGTAAGGAAGTACCATTTCTTATTACCATTGTAATACTAGCAGCCATGATTAACTACCTGGTTTATCTCCGAATTCTAAGAAAGACCAACTACTCACTTTATGGACACTCCATAAGCTCCACGGAGGTCTCCTGAGCTCAGAGTCAATCCATGGCAAACATTACAGATTCAAACTCAGACCAGGATTAAAGAATCTAGTGCCTTGCCTACTGAATTATCCTGATCTCAACTAGTAACAAGTAGAAAGGGAATATTGCACAGAAGGTTTTCTGTCACATAAATAATTTTGTTAAAATGTGAAATTGATCAAATTTGTTTTTATAGCCCTTTACATAGTGGAGAAGTGACCAACCTATTTATTCTACCCTGAGTGGGAAAGTCAAAATAAATTTCAATCCGCCCTATCTGGATTCAAACTGGTCCTGTAAGACTCGAAATGGTTAAGGTTACAATATGTTTATATTCACTGCCCAGAAGTTAATATAACCGTCGTTATCTTGACATTTTTAAAAATAAATAAGTAAAACTGCATTTTATAGTTGAGTAGAAATAAATCAATTAGTCAACAGTAACCTGAATCTAAGCCTTTGGCACTATCTCTTGGCTTTCTTGCAGCTATTTGAGTATAAAGTGCAGCCACATTCAGGAGAACACAAGCCTTCTCAAATGCAACTGTCCTCTGTGAACTGGGAACACCAGTTAAAGAATCGTACCTATAAAAGAATATAGATTATTTATAACAAAAAATGTTAAAAATACAGTAAAATAAAATATCTGAATAAAAATTACCAATTAAGGCATTTCATTTCATTTTTATACTCTGACCCACAGTTATACCTAATCAGTTTTAAAGTAAATTAAAATTTCAGAAGAGATTTTGATGGCTTAGTGCATTTCCTTGATCCAAACCCATAATTCCATAGCCACATTGACTTTGGTAATCTCAAAAAATATACTGAAATGTTACCATTTATAATGTTATTACCTAAATATTAAAACCATTTTTTTTAACAATTAACATTACTAATTTACATGTTTCTAACAAAATATTAAATACAAATTAATGCCTAGTTTTTATTTATTTTTTTATAACATTAAATTCTTCATTAGGAATTGAGCGAAAGTAAAGAAGAAAAAACCTAGAGCATTTTCTCTGCTTTAGTAATAATCATGATAAAGCTTTATTTTCTGATATATTTATGGTAAATTAGAAGAATGTTGCTTTTTTTCTTTTAATAATTCCAAGCCACGTACATACACTAAGACTTTTTTTATTATTCATTTTTACTTTCACTTACGTATATATGTAATATAGTAAGGGTAAGTATTGCGATCGAGAAAATTTTTGAATCTGAGTTTTCAATGGAAATAAATGTTTTGAGGTACCCTGAGTGGAAATGACCAAGTCCCGAAAAATGGTCTGTGTGTCTGTGTGTTTGTTAGCAGTCGAGCTCAAAAACGAAAGTCCTATGAAACTGATATCACGTATTTAAGATAGGTATATGCCTTAGATGTGACAGCAACTTTTTCCTTAAAATCGGCTAATCAGAAGTGCCACTTTATATCAATGCTGTAACACATTTTCACAATTTTCTCAAAAACGGCTCTAATGATTTTGATTAAACTCGGTGCATCACTGTATAATTAAGTGGTCTATAATATAAATTAGGTCTTATCCCCATTGATGTCACTTTACAGGGCTTAAATGGCCAATGTTCATATACGTCTTCCTCTAAAGTACCTTTAATATGGTTTATTTTAAAAAGTTAATCATTTCACATTATTCAGAGTTACTAAAAAATGCTAATTATAACTTTTGAAAGAATTTGATAAGTTAATAAAAGAGAAAAAAAATAAAAATGCAGAAAAACTTTCATTGTAATATACAATTAGTCAACTTTCATTGTAAATATACAATTTAATTGTAGCCATTCAGACATATAATCTGTATTCATATTTTGTTCTTAAGGGACAACAGTCCCAGAATAATAAAACATTTTTTTCATTTCATTTCATTTCAAAAAACCTGCGTTGATATAGACTGTAGCGCCTAAACGAATGTACCGATTTCAATGAAACTTCGCTAGTCATTTTCTCGACACCCTTCAAATTTATCTATATAACATACTTCAGCGAAAAGAAGCTGGAAAAAAAGTTACGAGGGATGGTAAATTAAATAATCTCTAACGTCGAAAATAAATCTCTGGAAATACAAGTGAGAAGGCATACTTATAATATATCGTTGGAAAGCGGAGAATTTTAGAAAAACATCTAATATAGAAAGTTGTGGAAGGTAACGGAGAGCGGCAAAAAAATTATAAATAATAATTTTTGAAAACTGATAATATTTAACGTAAATCACATGCTTTCAAGGAAATTAAATGAAATTTACTGACAAAATGTAAACTTTAAAAAATATTTTTACGTCTATAGAAAGTATTTAAAATTTCATTGTACTTGTGTGAAAGAATAAGTGAAATATAAAAATATTTCATAGATACATTTAACCCTAAATATATTTACTGTAGTTTAATAACTCTAGAGCTCATAATATATTTAAATATTTAGGTATCTATTGTCTGTTTATTCCGAAAAATCATCATGTAACCTTTTAGAAAATTAAATTAGTGAATAATTTGATAAATTTTCTCTTTGCGATATTTCAACAGAATCCACTTCAATTGGTGTGACAACTTTTGACCTGTCTATGACAGGCAATGCAAATCTCTTAATTCCGTTTTAATAAACTTTGCAATGGAAAATAACAGTTTAATAACTAATAGTCGTACAATCCATAATCAACGAATCGTACAATCCATAGTCATCCGGTGATATAATAAATAGGACTTTTGTTATTTTAAACAACCTATCGAAGCCTTGGTCTGCCAGGCCGCAGTGTACCGTGAAGGGCGGTGTCCACTACTCTTTGAGGAATTTCTTCCACTTCCATCCTTGCGACATTATCAGCTCAACTGAGCCTCTCCAGTTTTATAAACTTTACAACTCCCATACCTCCGTAAAAGTCATAAAGCTCCCCGTTCCTCCATCCATCTCCATCTCTCACTGGGCCAACTATTTGCCATAAGATTTTTGTTTCGAAAATCAAAAAAATATTTTCATCACTTCTTGAGATGGTCCAGGATTGGGAAGCATAGGTAAGAACGGGGCTTATAAGAGTCTTGTATATGACCAGTTTAGTGCCCTTGGTAATGGATCTGCTGTGGAGTTTTCAGTAGGGCAAAATATGCCCTATTTGCCGCTAACAGCCTTTTTCTTATCTCAGCAGAGACATCGTTTATTGGTGTCACTAGGGATCTCAAATAAGTAAACTCGTTCACTCTTTGGAATTTTTAAGGACCCACAATCAGTGCCTCATCACCACCAGTATATATTTCTGTGTGTATATATTTCATTTTATCAAGTTGGTCTCCTTTCTTATGGAGAGAACATATTATAGCATTAGTCCACTGTCGTGGCACTCTTTCCTGGTCCTAAATTGTCAGGACTATATCGGACAGTGCTCTACGCAAATACTTATCATCCCCCCAACTCATTCTCGATGCTGTGAAATCAATGACCCTCTTGCCGTTTTCATCAAGTCTGTATTTGTCTAGTTCTGAAAGGACTTGAAGCCCACCTGGTCTATATAAAGTTAAAATATTCCACATTCCTAGTCTGAAGTCCATATGATGGTTTCCATGTCTGTTACCATATGATCTGTCGGATATTTCTCGTTGAGGTCTCGTGATAAAGAAGTTTCAGAGGGGAGGGTTATCAGCTCTCACCCTCCTAGTCAGGTGGAGAGGCTGCCTCCTCAGAGCCTCATGACAGGCTTGTAGGCGAGTTGCCAAGCTCTAGCCTACCTCATCAGTCCCAATCCGACCAAAGAGGTGTTCCCTGCCTGCGGCACGGGGAGCCACCTGAACAACCCTTGTTGTCGCCTTCGCTTCCTCTCCCTAGGGTGCTCGCCATCATTGGTAGATTCCAATACTTACCAGAGAAGGGGTCTCTGGCTACTTCCAACCATCGGCAGGCATTTTAATATCTAACAATAGTTATATGTCTAAATTTAACATTAATATTGTATCTTGTTAATTTAGCCTAGGTGAAGATCTGTAAAGTTGATTAAAACTAGATATACAATAAGTTTAATACTTATTATTGAGTTTAACTCCATTGACCACATCTCTGACTAAATTATCTTCAACTTACATCTACAGTCAAGAACATCCACGCCATTATCTGTTGATTTTGAGTTTAATATAGCATTTGTTTTCATTTATTGTTTAGTAATTTAATATTGCCTGTTTCAGGTGATTTTTACATCACAGAAAACATTAAATATTCTATATTCTAAGTATACTTGCAATGAAAAAAATTACTTAATTCAACCAATGTAGGCTCCTTCATCAACCGAATTTCTTGCATTGCTGCTACATCCATTCAAAATTCATAACTTCCCCCAGGATTATTCTGTTCCATTCCTGAATGTATTAATTGAGCCTTTCAGTTGACAGAATGACTAACTCCAATTTCAACATTTTTGAGTAAAGCCATTTTAGTGATATTTCTTGTTAAAAAATTTATATAGACAGTGAATAAGTTGATTCCAGAGTAAGTGATTGCACTGCTTAAATATAGAACTGTGAATAAACGTATACATTTCCTCACTAGAAATATTACTAAAGTTAATAATAAAAAGTGTTGAAATTGGAAGTAGTCATTCTTTCAACTGAAAGGCTCAATTATTAGTCAAAGATTCTAAAGAAAACTGTTTTTCCATGTGCTCACAAAATTTTATCAGATTTGTTAAAGTTTGATAGTAAAAAAAGTAAATTACCATTCAAAAAATATCCCAAGGCTTCTATCAGGTGGGAAAAACCTCCTTTCAACAAAGTATAGCTGATTGTAATACTCCAAAAGAAGTGAAATTCCAGTATGATCTCTATGGGGTGTCCTCATTGCCTGTCCAAAAAGTTTAACAAAGAATACATCAACCATATATTAGCTTGCACCAAAATTTCCACTTAACAATATTTAATTTTTTAACAATAAAAAAAAATGTTCTGATACAAATATTATAGATTATATTTCACCCGAAAGAAATTAATAAAAAAATATTACAGGCTACATATTTTAATGGTCATTTGATTATTTAACTTAGCAATACTTTTCATGAGTGTGATAAAGTTTTTGATAGCCACTATTTTTCAAATGATTTTTCTCAATACTGTAGGATTACTTTGTAAACAATACATTTTGAATACAATGTAAAGTAAGTATTCAACTACAAAGAAAATATAACAAATTTATTTCAATGTTAAAGCGATATTAAATCTAGTTGAAAAATAACTGGTGTAGGTAAATAGTTAAAAATATTAAATAATTTTACAAAATTATCATTCAAAGATAAAATAATACTAATATTTGAAATAAAAGGGAAATTACAAATGCTACTATTTGTACTAGTTGAGATGGAATTAATGACCTAGTTCATAAAATAAAAAGAAGAAATTAAAATACTAAATTTATGGAACAGAAACCACAAGATGGAGAATAGATATCAAGATAATGAATTATGCATACAAGGACATACTCCATAATCCAGTTCTCTGTGACCATTTTGATAAACTGTAATGAGATTAATACACCAATACATGAATCCGAGCAATGGAACTTTAAAAAATCAGATTAAAAAAATTGTACATATTTATTGACATTAAAGAATGAGAGTTAGTGCAGATGGCGGACAGATAAGTGCGTTCAATGCTAAATGAAGTTATGCTGGTTATAATCTTATTAGAATGCAAAAAGCAGGATGAGATCTCACAGGATTCTAATGTAACAAATCGATGAAAAAATTAGGTGAATGAACCCTTTAAGCTCAACATAGATAAGCAGAATGAATGTATTATAGCATCATATAAGATACAATTGAAAGGTGTTGGACTTGAAAAACAGATTTATTATACCAATAGCACCACTAGGATAAATTAGAACCCAGTGGTGAGACATAAAGTCATATCAATGAGTGAGAATTTTAAATATTTTATGTAATTTATCATTCCACATTTAAAAAAAATAAAAAAAGAAAGGAAATGGCGGACCTAAGATGTAGCAGATTACTGCAGTGAGAAATCACAATTGAGGCACCTATTGAAACCAACTAAATATTAAAAAAACATTAAAACTGTTATATTTTAAATACTAAAAATTGTTTGATCATTTAACCTGTCTCATTTCCATGAAATCGTTTATAGCACTATCATACTTGGAGCCATCCTCGCTGTAGTGTTCTAATATAAAATCCTAAAAACAAAAATAAAAACAATGACAGCTGATTATACATATTGTTTGATAAAAATCAATAGTTATGACTTAAGAAGTGACATACCTTGAATGGTTCTCGGAAATCTATATCTTTTGTCTCTTTTAGTCCAAGTGGTATCACAGGCATTACTGGTTCAGAGCTACAACAAGATAATATTTCAACAAATTAAAAACAAACCTAAGAATGAATGAAGCAACATTACAATTATTATTTTCTAATTTGATCAAAATGTTGAAATACTGTAACCAGATATTTGTGATATTTGATCTACTTTTAATCCTTGGATTATGAAAACTCTCTTTATGTAAAAATATTTTAGAATAGTATCAAATAAACAAACAAGCAACCCCTGCCCGCCCTCCCATAGATTAAAAAAAAAAATTAGAAATATATATAAAAAATAAATAAATAAAACTTATTATAAGGAAGAAAAATGATCAGGATGTGCTGTCAAAAAATTAAGTTTATTGAGTGTGAGCATTTTTATTTTTTGCATGTTTGATTTGAACTCTTACATACAGGTTTAAAAATAAAAACTTTTCCTACATAGTTCTAAACATAATCGCTGTTTTGATCCTCAAGTTACCGATCTAGTACACAATAAATTATACGCTATTTTTGAAAGCGGTGTCTCCGAAATGGCAATCACGGTTCATTCAATTTATTATTTTTTTTAAACAATTTTTTTTGGAAGAAAAATAATAAAATGTGCCACAATCAACGGCATTTGGCACTATTAATCTATGTTTATACCATTATATTCATACCATATACAGGATGTTTCGTAATTACGCGGCACTATTTTGGGTATGTGTTCACTAACACAAAATAAACAAAAAAGTTCATATTAACATACATCTCAAACTCATTTATTAAACACATATCAAAGGTTAAAAATTTATTATTTATTTACTACATTAAGACTGACTGTACAAAGTTCAACGTGTTTAATACTAAACAACAGGTTTTAATCATCTTATAAGCAAATGGACGATAAGCAATGATAGTGGTTGCTCATCTGTTTGTCTATTTCTGTGTGTTTTAATGTGAGTGAATACTGTGACACAGTTTAAGTTGTTATTATCATAGGAGATACCATAAATTTATTCACTTTTGCAGAACAGACAGACATGCTTTTAACATATGGCGAGGTACATATAAACGGTGCTGCTGCTGTTCGAAGATGTGAAAATTTTCAAAACCGAAGAATACCAAATCGTAAAACGTTTGAGACCATTGAAAGAGCCCTTATGGATAATGACACGCTAAAACCTATACGAGTAAACGCCCGTCGACAAAGATTTCGATGAACTGCAAACATTGAAGAAGAAATACTCGATGCTTTTCAGTTATCTCCTACTACTAGTACCAGAGGATTGTCACGTCGTTTCGATGTTTCCTCTACCAGCGTATGGCGAACTTCACGCGAACAACAATTGTATCCATTTCACGTATAGAGTAGGCAAGATTTGTCACCACAAGATTATAACAAGCGCAGACATTTCTCTCAGTGGTCAATTCTACAATCCACACGAGATCCTAACTTCCTGAACTGCATTTTGGTTACTGATGAATCTTGCTAGCTTGTTGATGAATAGGAAGCGATAACTAAAGAAATATTTAATTAAAAAAATTACCAATTGTTTCACTGTAAACTAGATACAATTTTCTTCAAATTAAAATAAAGCTTGTCATTGCTAAAACCATTTGAAGAGGACTTTTTAGCGGCTAAACTTAGCTAAGTTCGGATATAAAAAAAAATTATAAATTATTAGCAATTTTTTTATCATAATCCGCCTGTGCTACAGATACCAAAATGTTACTTTTTTAAAAAAAAATTAAATTGAAGTTTATTTGTGCAAATTATTGAGATTGAATTATTGAGAAGTTATGTAAAGAAATGTGATTTTTCATCTTTTCACCTAAAAGTACCTGCGTTTTCAACAAAATTGACTACAATTAACTGTTACAAAGCTTTTATTTCGTATTTAGTATTATATTCGTATTTAGACAATTATATTTAACAATGGCAAATTCTATTTTTATTTGGAGAAAATCGTATCTAGTTTGCAGTGAAATAATTATTAATTACTTAAATTAAATATTTCTTCAGTTATCGCTTCCTATTTATCAAAAAGCATGACTTACTTGAAAAAAAACAACACTAAACTTGGATTTCCTACTGTTCACTTCAGAATTGGCCCACTGCTTATATGAACTTTTTTGTAGATTTTGAGAATATAACCGCTATTACTCCTTTAAAAATTTCCCTCTACTTACGGGACACCCTGTATATTTTATATAACATATGCTAACATTTAGAAGCTGTATGTATTTACTTTATTATTTATAAAAGAGTACATATTGAGATTATTTAAATATTAAGCTCAGATCAGCTACAGAATGAAAGATGGGCCAATAAAATAAATAAATTGGTCCTTTTTTACTTTCACTTACGTATATATGTAATATATAGTAAGGGTAAGTACTGCGATCGTGAAAATTTTCGAATCTCAGTTTTCAACGGAAATACAGGTTTTGAGGTCCCCTTACTCCAAATAACCAAGTGTCGCAAAATGGTCTGTGTGTGTGTGTTAACAGTCTAGCTCATAGATGAAAATATGATTTAAGTCTTATCCCCGTCGATTTCACTTTATAGGGCTTAAATGCCCAATGTTCATATATGTCTTCCTCATAAGTACCTTTAATATGGTTTATTTTAAAAAGTTAATCATTTCGCATTATTCAGAGTTACGATAAAATGCTAAATATAACTTTTGAAAAAATTTGATGAGTTAATAAAGGAGAAAAAAAATAAAAATGCAGAAAAACGTGCGTTGCTGTAGACTGTAGCGCCTAAACAAATGTATCGATTTCAATGAAACTTCGCTAAAGTCATTTTCTCGACACCCTTTAAATTTATCTATATAACATACTTCAACGAGAAGAAGCTGGAAAAAAGTTACGAGGGATGGTAAAATTAAATTCCGAATAACTCAAAAAGTATACACTTTTTTGTTGATATTGTATGGTTTTTTAAAAGTTTATGGAATTTCCTAAAAAAACAAAAAAAAAAAATCGGACAATTAGGAGGAAAGATATGGTCTCTAGTTATTTTCCCTGAAGAGATGAAAATTTGGATAAATTTAAAATATATTTTTTTAATTGTTGAGACTAAAAAAACCTTTTTTCTACAGATATTTAATAAAGTTTCTTTCATAAGAACATCTTTCATAAGAAATAAGTACCTACATGTATACCTTTATTCTCAGTTCTATATTTCAACGCTGCAATCACCACCTCCGGAATCAACTTACTCATTGTCTGCATAGATAACTTTTTCAACTAAAAATATCACTAAAATGACATCACTCAAAAATGTTGAAATTGGAGTTAGTCATTCCGGTTTATAAAAGCAAAGAAAGTTGTGTTGTTTATAAAAGCAGATGGAGTGACTAGATTTTTATTGCCTGTCGTCAATATATTAAATAGACATTTTGTGATTATAATGGTCTTAATTACTTGTTATCTGTAAGCTTTAAGCTTTAGCTCCGTTTAAAATGCACTTCAAAAAAATTTATAATGTCCCAACATTGCCAGAAAATAATTTCTACTCAAAGTAGATCGGCAAGTGAAAGTTGTGTGTTGCGCCTACCAGATTTTTTGTTTAGTTTGGTATCTATATTTTATAAGCATTTACTTTTAGTATTATTATATTGATGTTTATTATTTTTATTTATTGTGCATAGCATGAATGAGCTACTCTTTATCACTATTACTATTGTCCTTGAATGTGGCAGATTGTAATATATCTCAAAAAATAAATTTCCTAATAATTAGAAAAAAAAAAAATTGTTTTCAGCTTGAAACAAAAAAAAATAAAAGTGCACAAGATTATTTTATTTTAAAACAATTATCGTTCTTTTTATATCTATAGTTAAAATAACAAGTTAATTAATTTATTTTAAATAATTTTCTACTCCATTAAAGTAGATTGGTATGTGAAAGTTGTGTGATGAGCGCACCACACCAGATTTTTTTTCCATTTTTTCCTGAGTATGTTTCATTGATTTTAAAATGTCCATATTATTGTAAAACCAGAATATAGTTGTACAATATTCTTTTTATGGATTCGTGGGTCTCGCAGTTTGACGGAGCCTACAACACATAAATCGCTTCAATGCCACACAAATTATCTATCTCTCACACGTGAAGGCTGCAACTTATCCGTGACCAAGGTTTCAGATGGACCTCTGCGTCCTATGATTTTAATATTCTTCATTAGCGTCTGTGTAATGGTCATATCGTATTCGTAGGTAGAAAGGGGGACACCGAAACCTTTGAGTATTTTAAATTTTCTAATTTTTATAAACACAGTTTTTTCTTGTTAAAGTAAATAAAAACTAATTGGAATTTTCTGCATTCTAAGTTCATAAAAAAATATTTGTTTTTGTTTTAACATTCTCGGACATAACATAACTCCCAAGGCATCTGATGCTGATAGTAGTACTCGTAAGTATAGGAAAATCCACGGGAGAGGGTGCTTACAGACGGAAGCGTCTTAAAAAAATCCGGTGCGCTCAACACACAACTTTCACTTACCTATCTACTTTGAATAGAAATTATTTTCTGGCAATGCTGGACTATTATAAAATTTTTTGAAGTGCATTTTAAACGGAGCTAAAGCTTAAAGCTTACAGATAACAAGTCATTAAGACCATTATAATTACAAAATGTCTATTTAATATATAGAAGACAGGGAATAAAAATCAATTCACTATATCTGATTTTATAAACTACAGAATGACTAACTCCAATTTCAACATTTTTGAGTGATGTCATTTTAGTGATATTCTTAGTTGAAAAAGTTATCTATGCAGACAATGAGTAAGTTGATTCCAGGAGCCGTGATTGTAGTGTTGTAATATAGAATTGAGAATACAAGTATAAATTTAGGTACTACTTTCTTATGAAGGTGTTCATAGGAAATACACTTTATTAAATATCTCTAGAAAAAAAGTTTTTTTAGTCTCAACAATTAAGAAAATATATTTTATATTTATCCAAATTTTCAACTCTTCAGAGAAAATAACTAGAGACCATATCTTTCCTCCTAATTGTCCGATTTTAACGATCTTT